ATAATACAGCTTTTATTTTGTCATTGAGATAGAATAATCAGACTACTCTATGACTTGAAAAAGCCTTTTCCTCAAAGTGATCAGTAATGTGCCAATTGTATTACATTTTTAAGACTTGTTTTTTAAAAAGTATCAAAAAGAAGAAATTGGGGCCAGGTATGGTGGCTCATGCCTGTAATCCTAGCACTTTGGGAGACCGAGGCAGGAGGATGGTTTGAGACCAGAAGTTCGAAACCAGTCTCAGCATGAGCAAGACACTGCCTCTACAAAAAAATAGAAAAATTAAGCTGAGTGTGGTGGCGCATGCCTGTAGTCCCAGCTGCTTGGGAGGCTGAGACAGGATTGTGGAGCCCAGGAGTTTGAGATTGCAGTGAGCTATGATGATGCCATTGCACTCTAGCCCAGGTGACAGAGCAAGACTGTGTCTCAAAAAAAAAAAAAAAAAGTGTTTTTGAAAGTTGTCTCATCATCCATATTCTTTTCATCTCAAAACAACGTTAATTGCAAAATAGTCTATGTGATATTAATAGACCCAGTTACATTAAATTTATATGTATAACAAAGATTTATATGCTTTATGTCATTATTCTTAGTTTCTCTATAGGAGTTGGTGTTATTGACCATTCTCTTTTGAACTCTTATCCTATGGCTTCCATAACACCCTGTGCTGCTTTTCCTCCTACCCACCCACTAACTATCCCTCCTCTGTCTTCTTCATTACTTCTTCATATCATACCTAATTATAAGTCTTTCTTGAGGTTCAGCTGTAGGTCCTTTTGTGTCCATCTCATGTGGCTCTAGAGCCCTAAAGATTTCTCAGAATTATCTCAGAGATTGCTAAAGAGGTTTTTTAAGGATGGCTTCACCCCTTCAAAGTAGAATAGCCCTATCTCCATGTTTTTTATATACATATTGAGGTTTCATGTAAAATCTCATTTCAAAAAGGCTGTCATTTCTGCTGCTTCAACACACACACACACACACACACACACACACACACACACACACACACATACATAGCAAGAGGGAAAGGTAAAAAATATTGATTTAAACTTCTCTTTTGTATGAATGACACCCAAATCAATTCCTCTGGTCTCTCATCTCAGAGCCAGTCTTGGGCTTCCTTTTGTCCATGGACATCTTTTTTTTTTTTCTAGAATATTATGGGGGTACAAAAGTTTTAGTTACATAAATTGCTTTTGTACCATTTGAGTCAAAGCTGTAAGTGTGCCCATCGCCCAGATAGTGTGCATTGTACCTGTTAGGTGTGAATTTACTCATCCCCTCTTCCCGCTCCCACCTGCTTGATTTCCTATTGATTTTATTTCCATATGAGCACATAAATGTTGATTGAGTAGTTCCAATTTAATGGTGAGTACATGTGGTGTTTGTTTTTCTATTCTTGTGCTACTTCACTTAGAAGAATAGATTCCAGCTCCATCCAGGATAATACAAAAGGTAGTTCACCATTTTTTATGACTGAGTAGTACTCCATGGTATAAATGTACCACATTTTATTAATCCACTCATGTATTGATGGGCACTTGGGTTGTTTCCACATCTTTGCAATTGTGAATTGTGCTGCTATAAACACTCAAGTTCAGGTGTCTTTTTTATAAGATGTCTTTTATTCCTTTGGATAAATACCCAGTAGTGGGATTTCTGGATCAAAGGGTAGTTTTACTTTTAGTTCTTTGAGGTATCTCCATACTACTTTCCATAGAGGTTGTACTAGTTTGCAGTCCCACCAGCAGTGTATGAGTGTTCCTATCTCTCTACATCCATGCCAGCATCTATTGTTTTGGGACTTTTTGATAAAAGCCCTTCTCACTGGAGTTAAGTGTTATCTCATTATGGTTTTGATTTGCATTTCCCTGATGATGAGAGATGTGGAGCATTTTTTCACATTTGTTGGCCATTAGTCTATCTTCTTTTGAAAAGTTCCTATGCATGTCTTTTGTCCACTTTTTAATGGGGTTTGATTTTTTTCTTGCTGATTTCCTTGAGTTCTTTATAGATTTATTATCAGCCCTTTATCAGATGTATAGCATACAAATATTTTCTCCCATTCTGTATTGTCTATTTGTTCTAATGATTGTTTTCTTGGCTGTGCAGAAGTTTTTTAATTTGATCAGGTCCCATTTATTTATTTTTGTTGTTGCTGTGATTGCTTTTGGGACCTTCTTCATAAATTTTTTGCCTATGCCAATGTCTATAAGAGTTTTTCCAACATTTTCTTCTAGAATTCTTACAGTTTCATGCCTCAGGTTTAAGTCTGTTATCCTCCATGAGTTAATTTTTGTTAGTGTTCAGAGGTGCAGATCCACTTGCATTGGACAGCTTGACCTAAACAAATAGCTAGCACTATCTCTTTAGATTCCATGTGTCTGAAATAAAATTTACTGTCTTTCTCCTGCCAAACTAGTTCTCCTTAACAGAAACTCCTATTTCTTTTCATTGCTTTACTACTCTCTGAAGCATGCAAGTTAAAAAAAAAAAAAAAGAAGAAAATTAATTTTGACTTTTCTCTTTTCTTCATTGTCCAAAGTTATCAGTCTCTTAAGACCTGTTGATTTTTCCTTAGGACATGGTTCACATATTAATCTCTTTCTATTACCATAGTTTTCACAAGGATTGAGGTGTACAATTCATTTTTTGGACTGCTCTCAGAACCTCCAAAGAAATTTCTTTGTCTATGAGCTCTTAGCCCTATATTATATTTTGCAATCTTGAGCCAGATTTCATAATGGGTTCACCATTCTCACCCTACATAAGCTTCCAAAGCATTTCTTCCTTCCCTATTTTAACTGTGTTAAATGGAAATCACACCAAGGCCCAGATCTAATAATACAGCATTTTATTTAGGGCTTTGTGTGTGCTAGGTACTAGGCTAAGTACTTTATATGCTCTTATATAGGTATTATTATTATCTTGATTTTATAGATGGGAAACAGAGATTAAGCTACTTGCCCAAAGTCAAACAGCAGGTAAGTGGCAATGCCAGGATTAGCAGTCTGAGCCATCTGACACCATAGGCCAAGTGCTAAAACAGTATACTTTCCACCACCTCCCCTCCCCTTTTTAATGGGGGAAAGGCATGTGGGCTACTGGGCAGGGACTACAGAAGGCAACAGTCAAGGGAAAGGGCCCTGGCTTTACCAGCTGTTCTTAAAAGAGACTTAAGGTTCTAATTCATAAGTAACACTATGAAGTGGATTCTATTATTATCCACATTTTACAGGAGAGAAAATTGAAACTTTAGGTTAAATAACTTACTCTAGATCATACAGTTCATAAAGCATACAGCATTCTTTAAACCTTTTGGACAGATTGCATAAAACCATTATTCAGCCTTCCAGGTACATTTGCTGTGCTTCCTATACCAGGAACATATATATTCTTTAAGGGCAGAAACATTTAAGACCTAATAGTGCTGTGTACATAGTTCATGATCATTGAATGCATAAATGAATAAATGCTATCATTGTTTCTTTTTTTTTTTTTTGAGACAGAGTCTTGCTCTGTTGCCCGGGCTAGAGTGCCGTGGAGTCAGCCTAGCTCACAGCAACCTCAAACTCCTGGCCTTGAGCAATCCTTCTGCCTCAGCCTTACGAATAGCTGGGACTACAGGCATGCGCCACCATGCCAGGCTAATTTTTTCTGTATATTTTTAGTTGTCCAGCTAATTTCTTTCTATTTTTAGTAGAGACGGGGGTCTCACTCTTGTTCAGGCTGGTCTTGAACTTCTGACCTGCAGTGATCCTCCCACCTCAGCCTCCCAGAGTGCTAAGATTATAGGTGTGAGCCACCATGCCCGGCCTGCTATCATTGTTTCTTATGAAAGGCCCTGTGAAGGACTGTTAGTGGTATCCCTGTCAAATAAAAATAGGAAATTAATATTGGATAATGATTATATTTCCTTCGTTATGGTTTATTAATTGCCTAGGCTCTAAGACCTGTTTTCTTGGAAATTAAAAATGATGAATATGTATTCTTATGAATTTGAGGGGGTTTCTTCATCCTTTTAGCCTGGGAGTTAAGAACACTGACTGTTGTGTGGGTGTTGAAGTAGCCTTTGTGTATCTTTGCTTCCTTCTCTCCCCTCACCCATCCTGTAGCATTTATTCATTCAACCAATTTAGGATCTAACAGTGAAGAAGATATATAAGGTCCTTGCTTTCAGGGATCTTGTATTTTAGTGGGAGGAGACAGATGTGAACAAGTAAACAAAATAATTACAAAAAGTGATGGCACTTGGCATTTAGTAGTTTCCCATGATGAGGGAGTTGTTGGTGATTGGGAAGTGGGTGTCTGTGCTTAGGTGTGCAGCAAGAGCCATAGTAGGGGAGTGCCTTGTAAAAGGCACATGCACACATCTTTCAAAAAGGGCATATATACACACACATGTTCCTTATGTTTAGCTACTCCCTGGTTTAACCGTCTCATGCTTAGATGCAACATATGGGTTTTACTTTATTATTTAGTTACCTAACTTCAAAGAGACTGTCAACAATAATGCCTTCCTATGGAAAACTTAATATAGCATCAAGCCATTTTCACAGGTGCTATATTTCTTTTTTCCTCCTTTCTACTTCCCAGGATGAAATGGGGCCTAGAATCAAAGAAGCAATAGTTTTTCTCTATACCTGTAAAAGATTAGCTTTTCGTCATTGAGGATGATGCAAGCAGGAAAACCAAATGCAAGAAAACAGAGATGAAGCCAAAGGGGACAATTTCTGATTGTAATAGCTGGTTTCTGTTTCATATCACTGAGCAAGATGAGAAATTTTTACAGAGTTTTATAGAAACAGCTTCCACAGTACTAAAGGATGACCTCACCCTCACTGCCCTTGCCAGGTGCCTAGTCCCACTGAAAACACAGGTTGCTTTTCAAAATGAAACAAGCCAGAGTGTGGAATGACTTTCTGAGGCGACAGTTGTGGTTCTATTGCCTGTAATTAGCACTTCTTAACCCTCAAACTTGCCCATGCCTTTTTTAGGCTGTTGAAGCTCAAATCCGAAGTTTTGGGCAGACGCCTTCTCAACTACTCATAGAGCCCCATCCTCCCAGAGGTTCTGCCATGCAAGTGGTAAGTGCTATTTTCACTCTCCTCATTCCTTGCCTCTCTTTCAGACCATGCTTGATAACAGTCTTTTGTGCTGGAGATTCTCCACCACATCTGGGCCTGTTCCTCTCATGCAATGTTTGTTAACCTGCTAGTAACCAGCAAATGGTATTGCATTCTCTCCTGGAGGCTTTGAGAAGGTAAACGTTGCTCCAGGGCTCCAGTATTTCATCAGTTCATGTTTTGTATTATAGAATTAAAAGGTGTGTAATTGTCATGTATCCTCACTCTAGGATAAAGGACTCTAGACACAGGTTTGATAAGTTTTCTGGTTTGATCCTGTGAGTTTATAGATTAGTTTTGCTATTGTGTCTATTCTTTACATCCCAATATGTTTTTCAGTTGGGAATTTTAAAACAAATTCTAGGATATTGTCACTGAAGGTCAGGACCACAGGTATACCAAACCACCTAAAACTTAGTGGCTTAAAACAATGGTTTACTTTATTTCTTATGATTCTGAGGGTTCCATGGGCACTTCTTCTGCTCTTTTCACCTTGGCTCACACACACACTGCTGGGGGGTGGGCTGAGGTGATTGAGCTTCTCTTTCAATGCGGTCTTTCAGGATAGCCCAGGCTACTCCCATGGTGGGAACAGAGTCCCAGGAGAATGAAGACAGAAACAACAAGACTTCTTGATGCTTGCTTTTGAGCTCACACATCGTTTATGTCATGTTCTATTGGTCAAAGCAAGTCAAAGCCAGCCCAGAACTAGGGGTAGGAAAAATAGACTTGAGCAGCAAAATAAGGTGGCCATTCTACCTTTATTGTTGCTGAAATTCAGGGTGAGAATTCTTCAGTGAGAAAAAACAATTGGCACAGTAACAAGCTGAATTGCCTGATGAACATACTTTTTTTTTTTTTTTTTTTTTTTTGAGACAGAGTCTCACTGTGTTGCCCGGGCTAGAGTGCCATGGCATCATCCTAGCTCACAGTAACCTCAAACTCCTGGGCTCAAGCAATCCTTCTGCCTCAGCCTCCCGAGGAGCTGGGACTACAGGCATGCGCCACCATGCCTGGCTAATTTTTTCTATGTATTTTTAGTTTTCCGATTAATTTCTTTCTATTTTTAATAGAGACGGGGTCTTGCTCTTGCTCAGGCTGGTTTCAAACTCCTGAGCTCAAACAATCTGCCTGCCTTGGCCTCCCAGAGTGCTAGGATTACAAGCGTGAGCCACCGCGCCCGGCCTGAACATACTTCTTTTAAAGGAATAGACTGTAGATATTTTTTTCTTGAATTGTACCTCATAAAAACAGGTTGCTCATTATTGTTCTAAATTAAGAATAGAGAATGTAAAATGGATTTCCATTTCCATAAATATAATGAACAATTTAAGATAAATTCAAATTCCATGCTGTGGCTTAGAATGGCAGGATTTTGACAGATACTGGGAAGGAGAGAGCAGCAGCCGAGAGGGCAGGAGATGGAGAGGAGGCCCTGCAACCTCTGGCTCTCTTTTCTTTTCTTGTTTTCCTTTCTTTTCCCACATCATCATCTCCTATGCGCCTTTTTCCTTTTTGTCTTCTTTTCCATTTTCTTTCTTCTTCCAAGGTTTTTTCTCTTTCTTTCTTTAATAATATGAATTTACCATAAGAATAAACTACAAGCATTTTAAAAATTATTTGCATCAGCTTTTCTCATAAGTATTTTTAAATCAGTGAAATCAGATTTATAAGAACATAAAGGGTGACTTTAGTGGGCGGAAAAACTATACACAAAGAGCGAACATTTAGTACGAACAATGGAAGATAATGCCATAAAAATAGTAAGAATGATTTATGTTTGGGCTCTGGAATTAGTTTTAGTAATAGCTTGTCATTGAGACTCAGGCTGCTTTGGTGCTGGCTAATGGAAGCACCTCCACTGCTCCATTGACTTTCTGACTGGGTCACTGCACAGCCGTGGTTATTGGGCCAATGTGGGAGTTCCCACTGCCAAGCCTTCCTCCGTGGCAAAAGGATTATTGGCTCATCGAGGCAGATCAGCTTTGCTATCCCTAGGGTCGGAAGGCTGGGAAGGTACAAGCTCATATAAGGATGTGGGACCGTCTTTCCCATTATCTTTATCCTCTGAATTGAATACCTGAACTCCCTTTCAGACTTGTGCAAACTGTGTTTTTCATCTCATGCATATGTGCATGGGAAAGAAAGATGTGTTGAAAAGAAACTAGAGTTATTAACAAACACACAATCTCGGAAAACAATGAAATTTGGCTAGCAGTTTCCTACCTCTGCCTCAGACTTGGCTCACAGAGGTACCCAGGATTAAGACGGTTTGTTCCTTTTATCCCTGTTTTACCAGTTGTTCTGCTCACATGCAGCTGCTGCTATCACTGCAGACTAGCCCAGTAGGGTGGGGTGTGCTTTTTCTTATTTCTAGTGATGCTTGTCTATACTTTTTAGCCAAGGATATGATGGAGTCCCCAAGAGAGTTTCCTGCTATTTGCCTGCATCAGGAGCTCTAGTCAGGATGGAGTGTGAGGAACAGACTGGAGGGACAGCTTGGTGTGAGAATGCGGTGGACAAGTCTGGATATAGTGTCTGCAGCTTGCTGTGGAAAGTGGCTTGTCCTTGCCATGTGGCTAAGAGATGGCTCACTAGAATCACTGTGTAAACAAGACATTCTTCTTACATGTTAGAGATTTTTTTCATGTTTTCTTAAGGGCATAAACATTGGAATTATTCAATTTGAGCCTAATTATATTTATAATAGGAGCTGTTAAGCTCAGAAATATGTATGAACTTCCTTTCAGTGAGACTTTATTATTATGTTGTACTCTAATTTTCTCTGAGTTTATAAATGGACTTTAGTAAATATTATTATAAAACTATGCAATTGAAAAATAAGACTTGGTACTCTGAAATGATGTTCATTTCCTTTTCCCAGGAATTCTTTAAAATTAGCTTATAGGATATTTTGTTTGTTGTTGCTCCTTTTTTCTTATTTTTACCTAATTTCACAGAATTCTGTGTAAAGGTTCTTTGTATGACAAAAATTACATAGTGATATTAGGGTTTTAAAAATCAAAGGTCCACATGTTTATTAATTGTTTTTACTAATATTCAGATGAGTTTCCCCATCAACCATCACTGCACCCTCCACCCCCACACACACATATGAATACAGCAGAAATTAAAGCCACCTCGTGCTGCGTTAAGTGCATGAGCCATAATATACACCAGGTGTAGTAATTAGCAGGCACACGAAGGCTGCCTATTTGTCTGATTTTGCTGCTGTTGCTGTATCCCCCTGTGTTTTCACACCATCAGATAGTTGGATTTAATTGAGGCCACATCAGATGAGGCATTACTGACACCTTTAATTGAATGAGCATCCAGGGAGGATTAACTCATAATATTGATTGGCTTTTAGCCACTTGCTCAGAAGGGTGTCTGGGTAGCTTATTAGTTGCCTTTATTTACACCTTTATGCAAAGAGAGCAAATAGGAATTCTTAGTGCAATATGTTTTTCTAAGTACTCTTAATAACTTTTTTAAAAGGACTGATAATAAAAATGCAAATGTATTTAATTTTTTATTACCAGTTCTGAATAAATATGTGTTAAATATATGTGCCTACACATTTATATATACCTGGTGTTTTGAAATATGGCAGTAGGAAAGCAGCCAGAAGCATTTCATCAAAGTGTTTCAATTCTGAATGATACTAATCAGCTATTAGAAAATAGACATGGTAGGTAGGAAAGAATTGCTGAAAATGTACAGTGCAATTATGGTATGATAGCATACTACCACAAAGTATAAATAAAGCCAATAAATCAGAGTAGTGTTATATATGTCTCAGATTATAACATATGGGTTCCAAATCCTTAGTAGTCTTCAAGATTTATTTGGTTGCTAGTTATTAGAACAGACAGTGTTTCATTTAACATTTTCAATTACTTTCTGCTTTTCAAAGGAGAAATCAAAAAAATCTTGAGTTTTAGTTTTTTTAAACCAAGGGAAAAGAGGCTTTATTTCTCTTTATTCCTAGCTATAGCAGGAAGCAGTGGCATTTGCATTACAATAGTCTGTGTTTATGACTTGGTACACTATATAAATATATTGTTTTACAAGTACATTTAATTATGCATTGCTTTGAAACATCTTTATAATTAAGTTTGTATATTACATTCATAAGTTATTTCTCTACTGTAATGATATATGTATGCCGTCTAACTATTGTTTATAAATATATTTGCTTTAATTATCTCTTTACCTAGTTGTCAAAATCTTCATGCTAACTCAACACAACTTTTGATGGTCCTTGGAAATTACCTTGCTTTGCTTTTATGCCTATTGTTTATTCTCATTCTTTTCTTTTTTTTTAAGTACTAAAAGACCATTATGTGACACATGATAGCAACTGGAAGGGTTTAATGCAACCCCCAATACTTTGCCTATTTAGAATCTATATCAAATCATTTTTTTTTAATTTTTCATGGTGGTGGGAAGGTAAAGGGAGCTAATAAAATTTATAGATTTTTAACATGTTCCTGTTAATGTATTCTAGTTTAATCACCAAAAATTTCCACTAATGACAATATGTGAAAAACAGGCAAATCATAATTGCTATTTCTAGAATCCTTTCTGCTCACTGTGCTTTCACTTGCAACTTGTGGTAACATGGTCTTCCTCTTCTTTTCCTGCACCCTCTCTCTTTCTTGTCTTTCTTTGTCTTTTCTTTCTTGTATATTTGGGTCTTGTCATGCCCACTCAACAGTATCTCCTCCTGCAGAGTCCATTGATGTTCACAGACCAAGCCCAGCAGGATGTTATCATGGTCCTCAAGTTTCCCTCCAACTCCCCTGTCACTCACGTGGCAGCCAACACCCAGCCTGGTCTGGCAACTCCTGCTGTGATCACGGTCACTGCTAACAGGCTCTTTGCTGTGAACAAGTGGCACAACCTTCCTGGTAAGTAAAGAAATATCGTTATAAGACGTAGTAACTGCTGAATTACTGTATAAACATATTATAATATCCACTTAAATATATCTCAACATTTAAGCTTTTAATTTTCGAGAATTAGTCTGAATCAAAATGTCAAATAGTTTGAAAGGCTTAAAGATGTCCCATCTGAGGCAAATAGTACAAATGTTAAAATATAACCTATTCTTTAGCATCGGGTTGTTTGTCTTTATCCTTGGAGATAAATATTGTTTCTAATATAATATTTTAAAATAGTCATACTCTATATTGTATCCATAAATAGTATATATTTATTTAGCAAATGTTCCCCTTTTTTACTCATTTATTTACTCAATAAACACTTCTAATTGTCTACTATGTGCCAGAAACTGTACCTTTTTGTGAATGGCATGATAATGTTTGTTGTGGATGATAGGAAAAAGAACCTTAAATTACACAGCCAAAATACTGCACACCTATAAGTACTTTCTGTTCTTCCGTTAAGTGCTGAATAGTCATGCTCAACTGAAATAACCATTAGAATCATAAACCGTCCGGGTTTGAAGAGGTATCACAGTTGATGTACTCTAGCCCACATTTTACCAGTGAAGACACTGAGCCCAGGGACCTGCTTCATTTAGCATCACGTATGCTCAGTCAGTGGCAGAATTTGAACCCAAGCTTTGATTCAGATTTTATGACCACCCCTCTGTAATTTATTGCCTCTCATTGGAGTATGAATGTTGAGACCTGGATCTAGTGCTATTCTTTTTGGCCAGTAGTTAGACCTTTTTTTTTTTTTTTTTTTTTTTTGTAAGAAGAAAGAAAACCTTTTAAAGTTCTGGGGATTTTTTTCCCCCCAAGCCATTGTTTTAGGTAGGAAATTTTTAAAAAGTAGATTTTGTTAGTCTGTTATCTTGTCATTTAATCTGTAAAGTATATATAAAGCTTATTAGAATACCTGAAATGGTTGCAAAAATATAAATTCTTGAACAAGACCTCATGCCATTTAAATGCAAGAGCTTTTAGAATGGAACAAAGTTGACATTCAAACAAAATTTAGTACATTGATTAAGCTAAATAAGGTGTACCTATCACAAAGAATCTGTGTTTGGTATCAAAACTAATTAAATATAGCCATTTTCCTGACCATTGGAAAAGAAATGTCAATATTCGATTAGAGAATATATTTCAGAAAAATGGAGACAGTAAAAACTGAGTCAGGTGTTTAATATTATTATGTCCTTTTATTCCTTTCTCTTTAAGTGAACTTCTGTTACAGAGGTAAATGTACATGCAAAAGACATATTCTGGGACTAAATATTATAATTTATTTAAGAAATGTGATTTTTGGTTTCTCTTAATACTACTTCCTTAGAAGAAAAACATCCTGGTGGTATGTTCTGTCAAACACACTAGAGGACTTACCTACTCTGTATGTAGTTACCTCAGAGCTTTGCAAATGCATCAGGGCCACCACAAATGATGCTTATCTTGGGTGGCTGTGGCAACCCTGAGAAATTCTTCAGTTTAAACAGTGACAGAACACGTGAAGAGAGACAAACCTCTTCAACTGCCGGAATGCCCTGACTGCTCTCCACCCCCTTATCGTTCCCCTAGCAAAGAGCTAGCTCAGCAAGAGCTAAGCTCGTTCAACCAAAGGGCTGCTGGGTCTCCAGCTCATATTCAAGTTTTTAGGCAACTCCCAAAGCAGTGATCACTAAGCTCCTGACTTTCCCCTTTTCAGCAAGCCCATGTCCCTGACTAAAAAGTTTGCTTCCCTTAGTACTTGCAGGTGAGGTGTTGTCTTCCCCACTTTCAGTTTTTCTCTAAATACATAAAGTGATTTAGGGATCCTGCTGCTGGAGTACAACTTATGGTGCATCCAACTATTGCCAGCCCAAGCTTTCCTTTCTGCAAGATGAGAGCTTGGAGGACTACATAGTTCTGCAGATTCTTGGCCTGTAATTCTCCTCAGTGACCCTTTACTGTGTCTGTGCCTGTGTCATTAGTAGTGTTTGTCCCCACCCTTTCCATTCATTCTGCCTTCACACTATGACACAGCAACTCTTCAGCAAGTAAATACAAAGAAAGATAACTTACAATACACCACAGGCAGTTATCTTTCTAGAATGTGACCTCCAATTTGAGCTACACTTACACCTAACAATATTAAGCATCCATTCTGTTAAATCTATGCCTCATTTTAGGTATGTTTACATAAATCTGATCTTTCATCCTATCTAGTGCTACCTTTGCCTGTTCGTATGCCGTGATTTAAAACAAACACACATCAGAAATCCCTAATAGGTTTTCTTAAAGAAATATCAAATCCATATTACACTAATTTTTTCTTTTAATTTTAGGTCTGGTTTCTTTTCTGAAATCTATGATTACCATAGCACATTCATTAGACAACCTCTTGTCATTTCTTTGAGTTGTATCTGAGCCCTGATTTAGAAAAGAAATAATCTTTATCCTCCCTTCTCATTCAAAGGACCTCGAAAAACCTCCAGAAAATAAAATAACAGCAGCTAATGTTTATAGAGCATTTTCTAATTTCTAAGTACTATTTTAATCATTTTTTGTGTATGAACTTAATCCCCTCAACACCCTGAGGATATAGGTTCTATAATCAGGTAGAACCATATGAAATTGCCTTTTTTATAGGTCAAAATGGTCATCAGGTATTGGCAATTTCATATGGTCTAACTTAACTCATCTGACCTATTTTACAGATCAGGAAGCTGAAACATGGGGGTTATATAACTTGCCCAAGGTCATACAGGCAGTCAGTGGCAGAATTGCGATTTGAGGCATGACCAAACCTCCCTAAGCTTCTTTCACTGACAGTTTGGTTTTAATGTTTCTATGATCGCAGATTCTCAGAGAAGTAGAGAAAAATTCTCAGGGTATTAGTGCTGATTGACACTGGTATTACTGGGAGTAAATGGCACTGTTGGGTAGACCAGAGGCTACAGTACATTTTCCCTGATCATTCCTGGGATTTCTTTACTAGCAGACCCAGTAATCAGCAAAGACTAATAACTTCAGTAACTAAAAGTGAGTCTTGGTAGCTTCCTTTCTTCAGCTACTTTAGTTTCTTACCCATACTTAATTATAATTTTTAGTGCCAATATTGTACTTAGGTATTTTATCAGTATTAATGATCTTCCAAACATCCTTAAAAAGTTGGCATTGACTAACTGGGGATATTATGACATAATAAGTTCTAAAATGATCTAATGAAGTCATTGAAATGTACTCCCTTTTTTTTTTTAAGAGACAGGGTCTTGCTATGTTACCCAGGTTGATCTTGAACTCCTGGCCTCAGGCAATCCTCCCGCTTCAGCCTTCTGAGTAGAAGACTACAGGGACTACAGGCACACGCCACCACGCCTGGCTGTACTCCATTTTCATTTTCAGTTCCTCAAAGGCAGTCAGAAAGATTTCCTAAAATCTAATGACGTTAAGCAGAACTCTAATACCAACCAAACAGTAATGTAAATGCTTGTGAGGTTTTAAAAGGCAGATACTGCCCAATGGCTGAGTCATTTGGGGAAAATAATTTAGAAAAGGGCCCAGAATTTATTGGAATTATGAAGCTGAAAAGATCATCTATTCCAAATCCTTCATTTTAGGGTTTATGATTTGCCTAAGGTTGCAAGCCAGTGGCAGCTCCTGATTCCTCTATACTTCCTCTCTACCTAAAGTCCTTCTACCTTTCACAGGAAAACAGCCTGCAAAACCTCTTTTCAATTACAAAATAAGTATGCCTGAATCTTTAAAACCATTTTGAGAATTGAACAAACTATTCTTAGTATAGATTGATTTTTGTTACTCATTTGCTTCTCAGAGTATTTTTAAATTGAAACCATGGAAATATTAAATATTAATGAAACTTTTTTAAAACCCTCAATCCAATCTTTAAGAAAATATTTCAGCCAAATGCATTTAACTAAAACATTTATCTGCGGATAGCTCGCTTTCTTTTTATTCAAACTTTCAATTGATTGATTTTAAGTGATGGATGAAACATTAAATGTTCCCTGACTTAGAGCTTTCCCTTTCTCCATCATAAATTGACGTTTTTGTGGATCCTTTGTGCTGCAGCATTCAAAACTGCCTTTTTAAGAAGTAACAAAAAAAATAGTATTTGCTACAGTCAGCAGATGGTTGTCACATTTTGTTTTCAGTGCGCTTTACCACTTAATTTTGTTTTGTTGCAGCATCAGAGGTTGCCAGTCAAGCATCTGCTATAGCTTATGGCCTAGGACTGGAGCCACTGCTGATGGCACATGTTTAGAACAGCACTAATCTAAAATAAATGTTTAATAAGCTAACCATAAAAGCACCTGGATTTTTGTTCTTTAAATTTCACAAAACTGCATGAGAGATTTGGAGGTTGGAAACAATTTTACATAAGGTTCGACTTATGCATTTTTATATAGTTTAGTATATGAAAAATAATGTGGTTTTTTTTTATCTTTTGTGAATTCCAGCTCATCAAGGTGCTGTACAAGACCAGCCATACCAGCTGCCAGTGGAAATCGATCCTCTCATAGGTCTGTCACTTCCTTCTTTCTTTGCGATTCATTAAGCTCTGTATGGTGGCCCTGAAGTGTAGATTACAGTTGTTTTTCACTTGCTGGTTGCTGGGAATGGAATTTTCCTGATAAACCATTTGCATGCAAATTGGAATGCAATGAGCTGTGGCTATGCTGGTATTTCATCAACTCCCCCTCGTTGGTTTGCCTAATTTGAACAGGCCTAGGACGAGTGTCACTGAAAATTAATATGGATGCTGTAATAATGTGTGATTGAGAATGCGCATGAAGTACTGTCAGGATAATATTGGATCTTTTCATCACTCAGACTTGTTGATGAGCAGGAGCGAGGCACGTTATGATGAATTGGTGCACTGGTAATGTGATGGAGCTCCTTTGCTAGGAAAATTTTCATAATAACAGTGGGGTTCTTAGCAGCACTGTGTTGTGAAAAATAAAACTGTAGTGCCAGGGTTTCATCATTAAAGGAGATCAATTCTTTCTTCCTGGACCCTCTATTCAGTCTGAGGGGATTAATGTGCAATTGCAGAGCGGTTTCAAAGTTGAAATATATTGCCCAGCCAATGATAGTGTTAAGATATTTGTATTCATTTTCCTAGGGTCCTATAGCCCAATAAATTGCCATTGGAGGTTAAATTTGTCCAGGGGAGAAAAAAATAGGGAGGAGACCAGAAAGAGCCATTGGGATGAAATGAGCATCTGTAGCAGATGACTTAGACTATTTAATTGCTGTTATGCTTTTCGAGTAGGTTAGCTGAAATCTCTAGTTTAGCATTTTTCATCCTTATGTGAGGGGATTTCAAATGTGGCATCACTAAGAATGTTAAGCTTCGATTTTGAAGATGCTTTTCAATACCTTTTGGGATAAAAAACTTAATTGCCTAGCTGTGCTACCAGCATGTATATTTATCTTGTAATGTTGTAAGACTTCCCTGGCACAAGTAAATTTGTTAGAATTTTAAAGTTTTTAAAGAAAGCATATGAATGAGCAGGTTTATTATTTTGAAATCTAAGATGTTCCCTCTATGTAGTTACCTTTTTTTTTTTTGTCTTTAAAACCATTGTTTCAATAGAGAGCTAAATGCCTACCATTCACAAATGGACTGTCGGGATGAACAAAAATAGCCTTAAGCTAAAAACCAATTCATTTATCATTTCCCCAAGTATAAGCAAAAATTTAAGACATATTATCTACATGAAGGCTAAATACTACTCTGGTTCCTAAATCTTGTTTTATTTTATCTACTTAAAGTAGATATGATTTGCCATATGTATGTAAAAAATGCTCACTTGGGTAGTTTTAAAAGTCAGGAAAAAGCCCATTTGCTAGGTCATTTAAAGCATTATTTCTGAATTATAGACTCATTGTTTGCTTTACAATTTGACAATGAATATCCTATAGTATAAAGTCTAATTAAATGAATGCAGCAATTGTAACCCTTTAGACCAAGCACAGGTAAATTTTGCCAGTAAATGGCCAGATAGTAAATATAAGCTTTGTGGGCCATAAGATCTCAGACACAACTACAGTTTGAGCAACCCCTAATCTGAAAATCTGAAGTGATCCAAAATCTGAAACGCTTTGAATGCTGACAAGTGGAAAATTCCACACCTGACCTCATGTGACTGGTCACAGTCAAAACATAATCAAAACTTTGTTTCATGCATAAAATTATTAAAAATATTATACAAAATTACCATCAGGCTATGTGTATAAGGTGCATATGAACCATAAATTAATTTTGTGTTTAGACTTGGGTCCCATCCCCAAGATATCTCAATACATGCAACTATTGCAAAATCTAAAAAAAAATCTGAAATCCAAAACACTTCCGGTCCCAAGCATTTCAGATAACGTCTACTCAACCTGTACTTAACTCTGCCATTATAGCACAAAGCCACCACAGACAAAATATAAACAAATATAAGCATGACTATGTTCCAGTAAAACTTTATACACAAAACCAAGCATTGTCCGGATTTGGCCTTTGGGCCATAGTTTTGCCATCCCTGTTCTAGATCACTGGTCATCAGACTGTTCTTTTACCCCTAAAATAATTGTTTAAAACCATGTACCTTCTCATACATTTTTAAGTTGACATCTGAAAATTTTTATCACAAGTGTAAATAGTTGCAAAGGTTACAATTTCTGGCATAGTGTAAAAAAATTTTAATATATCCAATGGAATCTAAATATCAGAGTGAATCGATACTCAACATTTTCTTATTTAAAAAAATACATAAAAAAGCTCTTAACCGTTGAAAATTTCACATTATTCCTTTTTCATCTTGAATTTATATTTTCATTCTACTTCACTCACATAATTTTATCTTAACTTTTTAAAATTGATTACCCTATTATGCTTTCGGGAATAAAAACATTTATGGAAAATCAAGCATATGTATATAAATTTAAGTTTAAAAATTTCCTATGACCATAAGGCTCAGCTTTTTAAAAAATTAATTTGCATTGAGTGATCATTACAAATATTAATATATATCTACAATTATAAAATTTAATAAACATTTATTAAACATAAAAAATGAACATTTATTGGAAATACATCTTTAATGCAATGGATGGGGCTTTCTCTCCCAACTAGCTCATCTATTCATGGATAAACGTTATTTATTGCTGAGTGAGACAGGATTTGTCAACAGGTCTATCATATTTGCATGTTTTTATAAATAGAAGCTCTGAGGAATGTTACATAAGAAAATAGATGGGAAAAGAAGAGTTTTGTTTTTATAGTGCCACTCAAATCTTTGAACTCTTTCTGTTAGTGGCAAAATTCATATAGCAATCTATTATTAAGAATTATTTCTGGCCTGGTGCGGTGGCTCATGCCTGTAATCCTAGCACTCTGGGAGGCCGGGGCTGGAGGATCGCTCAAGATCAGGAGTTCAAGACCAGCCTGAGCAAGAGCGAGACCCCCGTGTCTACTAAAAAAAAAAAAAGAAAGAAATTATCTGAACGACTAAAAATATATATAGAAAAAATTAGCCAGGCATGGTGGCGCATGCCGGTAGTCCCAGCTACTCAGGAGGCTGAGGCAGAAGGATTGCTTGAGCCCAGGAGTTTGAGGTTGCTGTGAGCTAGGCTGACACCATGGCACTCTAGCCCGCGCAACAGAGCAAGACTCTGTCTCAAAAAAAAAAAAAGAATTATTTCTATGGTATATTATCATTTTAACAATCTATCATTAAAACTTATTTTTAATGATCTACCAATTGACAGCATGATTAGATCCTCATTCCATTTTTATTGAAAGCAATGAATTAGAAACCACCTAACCTGCAGAATGATTTGATACGTAGGCATTCACTTTTCAGTATCATACTAATATTTTGAATCGTCCCTTTTTTTGGCTCCCAAGAGATTTTTATACTGTGGGGTAAATCACCATAGTAAGATTCTGCATGGAAGGGAAATATGCCTTTATTTTTTCTAGTGGAGGAAGGGCATGAGAAAGGGGAGATAAGAAAAGAAAATTCACAGGAGAGTTCTCAGGCAAATCAGTTTCAGGCAAGAGAATATATGAAAGTTGAGGAATTAGAAATTGATTCCTTTAAAACCATCTGAACTTGTGTATCTCTTAGAAAGTCTAATACCCTTAGGAGTATGCATGCCCCCGTTTGAAGACTGCTTATTTAGACAAATATACCTTAGACAGATGGGGGACTTTGCAATGTTAAATTACAAGTAAGCACTTGCTTGGAAAATAGTTCATCTGAATGCTGAGGTGGCATCAGCCTTTACCCAGGGGGTACTTTGTGGTCACTCAATTCAAACTTATGCACATACCCAGATCTGTTGAGGAGATCCTCTCAAGAGAGCACCTCCCAAATAATGATCAGTGAAAGTTGATGTCATAGGAGCAGACGTCTTATAAACACTGACAAAAATAAACATTTTTACAGTTCTCATATGGAATGTAGTACTGTAGCAACCAGTGAAGAAAGTACCACATACCTTGTTTTTAATTGCTGTTTCTTGGAATTCAAAAAAAAAAAAAATTATCACACAGCTTCATTGTAGTGAGATACTGTCTCTCTGTGATATACTATGATATCCATAAAAGCTTTTCTCATCTGCCAGCAACTTCCCTTTGTGTAGAAAGAGAGGGAAAAATGATTCCCAACTAGAATTCTGCCCCTTTTAAACTGCCTGTATAAAACTACTATGATTTTTTAGCCCATTGTTCCTCCAAAAGCATATGAAGCCTACAGTTATCTAATAATCTTGAATGGTTAAATTGTATCAACAGATACCAGCAGAATTTTGCAGTATTGCATGTGAATATGTACAGTTTGCTATGCTGTGTATGCCACGAGGGCAGGGGACACTTCAGTCATCTGTGTCCCTGGGGGTTCCCAGAACAGCACTGGAAGAGTATTTTGAACACCTTTTTCCTTCTGCTTTATTTTCTGAGCTTTCTATTAACCTACTCACATTAACTTAGTTATTACATACAATGAATATAATACAGATATTTTTCTATTTTTAATTTTTATGAATAATGTACAAGATTTTTTTTCAAAAAATTGAAAACTATGATAAAAAGCTTAATAATCAGATGGAGAAACTTGTTTGTTTTTATATCTGGTACAACCAAGTTTCTTTATCAGTACAAGAACCATTATTTGTATTGGAGGAATGATGGTAAAATAAACCTCAAATCACTGGAAACAAAGCTTTCTATTTCATTGGCCTCAATGCCAAAAAAGGCATCTCAGTGAAAATTCCTTTTCTGATAATGGCACACGTGATAGTGTATTTCTAGGTGATTATTACTCTTCCCATGTGCTTGGTGTTGCTCTATGTCTGACCTTTTGCCTTGTGACAAACCACATCTCAGGTGCTCTGTAGCATTTTGAAAACACACTGCCAGGCTGTCTTGTTTTATTGCTTAAATAAGGAGTAAGAAAGTGGCAGTCTGCTGTGCTTTGACTTTTTCAATTACAAGAATCTTTAATAAATAGTCATTCTATCCTTCCCTTACATGCAAGTGCAGCTGTAAACAGGGGGAATGGGAGTTCCCATCCAGTCAAATTAAAGACCCGTTAAAGCCAAAGTAGTACAAGATGCTACAATATTTCAAATATATGACATTTAAATCCTAATATCTCTTCCTTGTGACAAAATGTTAAAGGTAATAGATTGTCACAACATGAACCATTCTCATGACAATAGATGTAATGAGATTGTCAGAAACACAAACCTAACTGTGATGCGATCTGGAGATTGTAATCTAGTTTGGTCCTGCCCAAGAGCTAGAAAGCATGTTCTGTGAATTGTATACGATTTTTAAATTGTAGTATGTTATTATTTCTCTCCTCTGAGCAAAATTTTTACTGAGATGTTGAATTTAGCTGCCTATATTCTTCCAGCAACAGATATGTTTTCTTATTTGGTTTTTAAAATATTACTATTCTTAAAATTAAAGATCAAGTATTCTTATCTTGGAACGTGTCTCTGCTCCTCCTTCACTCCCAACTCCCAGTAGGACAAACTATAGGATTTCTTTGCCCATGTGTGTGTTTAATAGGTATTTTTTCCCTCTATTCTCACAGCCAGCAATACAGGAATGCACAAAAGGCAGATCACTGACCTTTTAGACCAAAGTATTCAAGTGCATTCCCAGTGCTTTGTCATCACTTCAGACAACCGCTATATTCTCATCTGTGGCTTCTGGGATAAGAGTTTCCGAGTTTATTCTACAGACACAGGTAATTTTTATTTTTTTTATCAGTGAACTAAAGTTTACTACAAGTAGCATTGAGAGGCTTAGAATGCTTTCTCATCTTCTTCCTTCAAAAATTACATAATTTTAAAATTTATAAAATAAGAGAAGACATTGTTTTCCCCTTTCAAGTAATAATCTACTATATATTCCACTATTAAATTAGCTTCAGTATGTTTTTAAGAGGCAGTTTTTTTATAGTAGGTTTGTCTACCAAGCTCATGCTTACAAAATAAGTGATTGATTTTGAAGGCAAATCCTGGTATATAAATACTATACACGAGTATTTGCATAATCTTGTGGCAAGAACACATACAAATAGGTATATTTTTTCACTTTTACATTATTAGAAGAATTTTGTTTTTCTTACTAAAAAGACTCATTAAGTACATCTCTTAGCAGTAGTTTTCTTGCCTCCACCCAATTCTGCATAGAATCTTGCTGGAAGCTATACCATCATGAAGAAAAGTAGCTGACTACTGATTTTATGTGTGACAGGAGCTCTTGTTAAGAGTTGAAAGTTTAAGTCTACAGATTCATTTGCATGCATCTTCGTAAGAGACAAACCAAGCCCAGCTCAGTATTATTATAGGAAATCCAAGCCAGTAAATGTTTATAAATTTTTGCATACAGAAAATTGAGAAACATTGAGAAATTTAATGGTTTCCCTTAAAATATTTTAGAAACTTATAGAGAATGAAATAAACTTATAGTAAATATATAGTTGAATATTTAAAATAATTAAAATTAGATATTAATGCATTGGAACTAATTGATATACAGTCATGTGTTGCTTAACGATGGGCATACATTCTGAGAAATGTGTCATCAGGTGATTTTTGTTAATGTGTGAACATCATAGAGTGCACTTACACAAACCTAGATGGTACAGCCTACTACACACCTAGGCTGTATGGTGTAGCCCATTGCTCCTAGGCCACAAGCCTGAACAGCACGTTGCTGTATTGAATACTGTAGGCATTTATAACACAATGCTAAGTATTTATATATCTAAACATAGAAAAAGTAAAGTAAAATACGCACAAATGATTGAAAAAAATGGTATACGTATGTAAGACACTTACCATGAATACAGCTTTCAGGACTGGAAGTTGCTCTGGGTGAGTGAGTGAGTGAGTGAGTGGTGAATGAGTATGAAGGTATAGGACATTATTGTACACTACTGTAGACTTTATAAACACTGTACACTTAGGCTAAATGTATACAAAACTATTTTTCTTCAATAATAAATTAACCTTAGCTTACTATAACTTTTTTACTTTATAAACTCTTTAATGTTTTTAAACATTTTTATTATTTTGAAATAACACTTAGCTTAAAACACAAACATGTTATACAGCTGTACAAAATATTTTCTTTATATCCTTATTCTATAAGCCTTTTTATATTTTTAAATTTTTTTTTTTTTTTTTACTTTTTAAACTTTTTTGTTAAAAATTAAGATACAAACACACACATTAGCCTAGACCTACACAGGGTCAGGATCATCAATACCACTGTCTTCCACCTCCACATCTGTCCCGCTGAAAGGTCTTGAGGGCCAATAACTTGCATGGAGCTGTCATCTCCTATGATAACAATGCCTTCTGGAATACTTACTGAAGGACCTGCCTGAAGCTGTATTAAAGTTAACTTTTTCTAAGTGGAAGGGGTACACTCTAAAATAAGGATTGAAGGTATAAGATAGTAAGTACAAAAACCAGTAACATAGTCGTTTATTATCATTATCAAGTATTATGTACCATACATAATTGTATGTTCTATACTTTTATATGACTGGCAATGCAGCAGGTTTGTTTACACCAGCATCACCACAAACGTGTATAATGCATTGCTCTACCATGTCATGATGTCTGTGACCACTAGGTGATAGGATTTTTCAGCTCCATTATAATCTTATGGGACCACCATCAAATATGCAGTCCATCACTGACCAAAAAGTTGTTATGCAGTACATGACTGTATATTATGAAAGTAGATATTTCAACTGAAGCAAAGATCTTACTTGGATCTTGATTAAATGTTGTGGAAAGGGAAATTCTTTTTTCTTTTCTTTTTTGAGACAGGGTCTCACTCTGTTGCCCAGGCTACAGTACAGTGGTGTAATGATAGCTCGCTGCAACCTCCAACTGCTGGACTCAAGCGATCCTCCTGCCTCAACCTCCCCAGTGGCTAGGGACACAGGCACACACCACCACACTCAGCTAATTTTTCTGTTTTTTGTAGAGACAGGGTCTTGCTATGTTGTTTAGGCTGGTCTCGAACTCCTGGCCTCAAGTAGTCCTCCCGCCTCAGCCTCCCAAAGTGCTAGAATTATAGGCATGAGCTACCTTGCCTAGCTGGGAAATTCTTTTTAATTGAAATTTCTAGTTAATTAAATACTTTTCAGTGAATTATCTTTATCTTGTTGTTAATAATCTTTATAAATTGTATGAGTCCATGTTCCTACTTTAGTAACTATAGTATATTGAACAATTAAGGAATTTGTCCTTGAATAAGGATACAACTTGTTTGTGAATTTTTATGATAGTAGTGTAACATAGCTATGGCAGAGTAAGGAAGAATAGTTGAATATGTACTGTTTGTAGAATAAACCCTAGAAATGTTTTTAGGCATGATTCTGTTTATATTTTGTTTAATGAAATTGATTACCTAGTTTTCTCATAATTTGCATCTTTATTCTGTAGGTCCAGGAACATTATCATTCAAGCCTTTCTGATTATTTGGGTTTTCACTAGATGTTTAAGGCTATGGGGTGGATTACTGTTGAACCTAAAGCTCCTTTAACATTCTCTAATAATGCAATGGGAATTGATAAATTTTCCTAAAATATATTTATTATTATAATAACTTTTCTCTGATTTAATCATAATTGGAATTTTAGCCTTTCTTTTAGCATTTATAATGATAACCTTAGCATTATTTGACCTCAAATCATGCTCTCTCTTTGCACAAACTTTTGGGTTAAACTGGTTGCATCCTTTCACAAGATTTTCTTGAATATTCTTCTAGACTGCATATTGTTTTTTCCACACGTTTAAAAAAGTTATTTTAAAATTTTTAAATGTAAGAATGAATTTTACACAGAATTTACCGTGTAAAATTGGTTTACAGTTCTATCTATTAGTATTGACAATGCATAGAGTAATGTAACCACCACCATAATCAAGGTGCGGAGCAGTTCTATGAGCCCCCAAATTCCCTTTGTGCGGCTTGCTAGAAGTCAACTTTTTACCCCACCCTCAACCTTGTGGCAACTACTGATCTATTCCTCCTCTCTGGTTTTGCCTTTTCCAGAATGTCATATAAGTAGAATCATAAATCATGTCAATCTTCAGTTTTGACATTTGAGGTTTTTTAGTTTATTGACATTCCATATTGTTTTTTAAAGGCGTTGAGTATTAATATTTGTAAGGTAAAGCTAACTTCATTTTCATATAATACTAATAATTAAAATAATTTCTATATTCACATGGTTTTTTAGAATTTACAAAATTCTTTCACCTATTTGATAATGTTTCAGTCTCACAATAATCCTGTGAAGTAAACAGGCCTCCTTATACCTATTTTTCAGATGACAAAACTGAGGTTTAGAGAGTTTAAGTAACTTGTTGACATTTATGTAGCTAATAGTAACAGAACTTGGACCTGGCTCTTCTGACTTTAAATGTAGCATTTTTTGGATTATACCATATTGTCATATAGAGGTGTTACCAGTCATTGCTTAATTTGAAAAATGCTATAATTTGTAACACTAAGTTCCTAGTATGTCTGACATGTTACATTACACTTAATAAACTAGATACCATTCTTTCCTGTCTTTCCAAAAATCAAACGTACTATTTTAAAAAATTGTGTGTGTGTATAAAACTTTTTCGTAAGGAGTAGCTTTATTTTAAACATCATTTCAATGGGACTGACTTAGCTTGTGGAATAAAAATATTTATACTTGCCAGAAAACTTGTTTAAAAAAACAACAACAAACTCAAATGATAGTCCTGGTATCTTTCTTAATATCTTGTATACAAACTCTGATGCTAGTTTTATTTAAAATAATTTCAGTTAGGGTAAATACATGTTTGTGTTTTTAGGACAATAGGAATATTAAATGTTTTCCCTCAAGTTTAGCAGAAAAGGGAAACATTGTATGATCAGGAATATATAATGGCAAAGATATCACAAGTGTTGAATTCAATTATATTTTAGCACACAAGCCAAAAAAAAAAAAATCCTTCACTTATTAGATTTGGGGGGAGGGAGGAGAAACATGGGTTGTAACAGGAAATTCTTTAAACATAAATCATGTTTTCGGGGCACAACCAGAACAGCAGAGGCAACAATAAAACCTTCCCCCGGCAGTCGGAATTATTTTCAGGCCACATTTTAGATTCAGTAGTGCAGAGTCCTGAGCTTGAATTTTTTTTATTTGTAGCACAGCTGTCAAATAAAACATTAACTAGAAAATTTGTTCTGTCAAAAAAGGGATATTCTGGTGCTTGTGGTAATATTTGATATTAGCGTGTGGAGAGGTGGACTGGTATTAAAGGAAACAAAAAATAAAGGTTGAGGAACACTTATGAGATTATCAGAAAATAATTTACCAGAAAGAACAGCAGGTATTTATATGCTGTGATTTATTTAGGAGGAGTGAACCTCAACCTCATAGCAATAACAAATATTGCTGAGGAAGGCTGCCAGCACAGGAAAAAGTAAACTTAAAAAAATAATGTTTTCCAGAGTTGAGTGCAAAATATAAATAGTAGAGAATAAAGTTAATTTGTATTAATATATGAAACCCTTTAGATGTAACTGCTTAAAATGTCACTCTCACATTTAGATCTTCCCTGACACCCAGTCTAAATTTGATTCACCTTGTTGTTTTCACTGATCCTCACTTGTTCTTTTTATAATACTTATCACTATTCATAATTATATATCTGTGTTTATTGCTTAATGTCTGTCTGCCCCACAAGACAGTAAATGTTGTGAGGCAAGAAAACATATCTGTTAGTTCACCACTGTATACAGGTAAGAAGGCCTAATGCTTGGCACTTAGTAAGTGCCAAGTAAATATTTGTTGAATGATAACTAATTGTGGTAATTTTTAGGGCAACAATTATCACACTAGAAAAAGGAACCACAGTGACTGAGTGTACATTTTGCTCACACTGACATTGGAGAAACAGAGCAGTGACTTAATGAAGAAGAATTAACATGTAAATCTTGGAAAATTTTGCCTCTGTATTTAATCTATCCCACTTTTACAGCTAAATCTTTCCACTGTATCCTCACATGAGCTGGAAATTAAGTTACTGAAGTGAATAACTGTTTTTGCAAGGCTCCCAGTACATAAGGAATACCCTGGGTTTCCTCTGTGCCATCTACTTCAAGTACCTGGTTAGTTGTAGTTATTTCACTCATCCTCACTCCTGCAACTCACTGAGTTGTTGGATTCCAAATCTTAAATAAGCCTAGCCCTAAATAACCTATTTAAGTTACTCCTATAGTTTATGTGCTCTTAGCATTTGGTATAGGCCAAAGCAGAAATCACTGTACAATGCTCTGATCAAAACATCACAATATGATGTATTCAGTTTCTTTCATTAGTTAAAATACATCGATTTAACCTTCGGTTTTCTAATTATTAATAACAGTACATTCAGGTACCCAATTTTTGTCTTAACCTATGTAAGGCCTTCGTGTAATTTAACCCCATCCATTTTACCACTAAACCTGCCCACTCTGTTCTTCATATAAACTGGAAATGAAGTGAACATTATTATATTTTTCATTTTTAATTCACTGTTTAACATTTTTTTATTCTAGAAAGTCTTGAATTCTTCTTACCATATTCTTTATTGATATAAGCTAATTTTTTAACTGAAATGTTTTGGTGTCGATTTAAAAGGTTGAAGAAATTCAGAAGTGAACAATCTGAACACTCAGCAGTTAAAACACCTGCTTTGACTGAGTCTTTGCTCCCCCTTAGGCACAAGAGAAAAAAATATACTTTATTAATTTTGCAATTTGGGATTGAAATGAATCTGATTTTATATTTACTAGAAGGAGGCTATGTACATGACTGCCACTCATGAATGAAAACATGTAGACTTTCCACCTGAGGTAGATAAAGTATGTTTCAGTATTTTTTATTTCTAAATTTCTACCCTTTATAATAAGCCTCAGGTTTATTATTAAGGAAACAAAAATTTAAAAATTTAACGTAAATACTTTCTTAGTTACATTTACTATTATCTTGAAACGTTAAGTACACTGAGATGCCAAAACTTGAGACCTTAATCTTTTGAAAAGTTTATAATGTATTACAATTTCAACATAAACTTTTTAGGCATATTAATTTTTTTCAGGTCAGTAGTCTTTTTTCTTAAACATCTGAATTATATTTTTATGGCTTCACTGAACATTTGTTAAAAAAAAGAAAGCTACGATGAATATTAAAGGGTAGACATTCTATGACATTCATTTGTAGAGTATGTAGACATTTCAAAGGAATATGTTAGCTAGAAACTATAGGGATGGAATGGAGGCGCTGCCGCAGGTATTTAATTCTTTAGGCAAATTTATGTGAATTACAACCACCATCTCTGGTTAAACAAAGATTCTAAAAGGTGAGGGCTTTACTTTTTTCCTGATGCCTTTATGTGAACAGCTCTTCCTGTATTTGAGGGCCTAATATGCAGTAAGTAAGTTTACTGGGTTCCTCTCCACTATTCCCAGTCATTACTATTAAACTGCCATTATCTTTTTTTTTTTTTTTTCTGAGACAGAGTCTCACTCTTTTTGCCCGGGCTAGAGTGAGTGCCGTGGCGTCAGCCTAGCTCACAGCAACCTCAAACTCCTGGGCTCAAGCAATCCTTCTGCCTCAGCCTCCCTGAGTAGCTGGGACTACAGGCATGCACCACCATGCCCGGCTAATTTTTTCTATATATTTTTAGTTGTCCAATTAATTTCTTTCTAATTTTAGTAGAGACGGGGTCTCGCTCTTGCTCAGGCTGGTTTCGAACTCCTGAGCTCAAACAATCCGCCCGCCTCGGCCTCCCAGAGTGCTAGGATTACAGGCGTGAGCCACCGCTCCCGGCCTAAACTGCCATTATCTTGATTTCAACATCATTCCCTGAGGAATTTTCATCATTCAGACAATTAAAACAAAGAAAGAACGTCCTGGCTCAAACTGGAATCACAATACATCAGTTCTTTCATCAAAATTTCCACGTAAATCCTTATTTGAAAAATCAGAAGCTCTCTAAAGTGACTTATATCATCCTGGTATAGATCACTTAAAAAGAAGAAATACATTAAATCTTTAGTAATTCAGAGACAAGTTTTTATTAGTGAAGTCTGAATTACAGAGTACTTTACAGAAAGGCAACTAAGGTTTGTTTTATTTTGAATCATGTAGAGTAACTCAAGAAAGTGTTAAAATGGTTCCAAAGGTTTCTCCTGGTCCTGCTTTGAATCAGTAAACATGATTCATTGGTAATTTATAGTTGCCATTTATAATACAATGATACAGTATCATGGTCCTCAAATAGTTTCATTGAAATAGTTTTAACATATGTCTTCCAAAAATATTATCACCATTCAGTTGATTTTTTTTGTTGTTATTGTTAGTATTCAAAGAAAACATTTAGGTTAGACCAGTTCAAATTATTATAAAATCTGAATGATCAGAATCTAAGTTATTATGGTTTCATTGTCTTACAAGTTATCTGTTCACTAGAAATTTAATTTTTAATAGCAATTTTAAAGAAAATTGTTTTACATTTCAGGAAAATTGACCCAAGTGGTATTTGGCCATTGGGATGTCGTCACTTGCCTCACTCGTTCTGAGTCATATATTGGGGGAAATTGCTACATTCTCTCAGGGTCACGTGATGCAACCCTTTTGCTGTGGTACTGGAATGGAAAAAGCGGTGGGATTGGAGATAACCCAGGCAGTAAGTATGATTTATTTTTTAAAGTAAACTTTTACAAGTGGTGTAGAATAACATTTTGCAGTGAAGTTAGCTTTTCAGTATGGTAAGAGTGAAACTAAATTATCAAGTATTTTTAATTTCTTAGTTATAATTTAAGAAAGATCTGGACGGCACCATTATTAACATGTGACCATTGATAATTAAAATCCAAGCATGAAATCTCATTTTTCATGTTATAGGTTATTCTTATGAGCCAAAAATGCTAATTCTTCGTTGCAAATGGCTGTCACCAAATAAAAGAGAAGTGTTTTATTCCCAAACAATAAGATATAGCATCAAAAGAGCAATCACATATTATCTTGTTTATGGAATTCATATTTTTAAAGAGCAAAATAAAAATTATAATTTCATGAAAACAAACCAGTCTTTACAAAATTATGCTTTCATTTACATATTAAAAGATAAAACAGGTCATAAAAGGCCAATATGGAATATTCAAATTGGCTCTTGGTTTTTCAGATGGGAAATGAAAATGTTCACCAACAGCCTTAAACATCTTTATGAAACTATGCTGAAGGCAGTAAAACAAAAAATGTGTAACCATTTAAAATTGTAATTCACAGAAGGCAAAAAAGGAAGCAGCTACCATTAAAACCAATCGCACACAGCTGCAGAAAAGAAATGGCTTTAGAAAAACACATTAAGAAGTAGGAAAAAACAATTAAAGGGACCACCTGAAAAATGAGAATTTAATTAAAATGATTATGACAACACTGAAGAGTTCCTGCAAGAGTAGCTTAGATTTTTACTTCATAAGGTAGAGCATTTTAACTGCTCTTAAATATTTACAATTTCTTAATTTAAAGCAAGTTGCAATGTATTTGGTTAAGGGAGGATCATGTTGCTCCTGATTACTTTACCTGAATATGCTGGTCCTTCTTTTTGTCACTCAGCATCAAACTGTGGAATGGTCTGAATATGTTTAAGTCCATCATATTTTAGATTGACTTCTCAAAGGTGTGCTTAAACGTGTAATATTTGTATGAAAGCAAAACCTTTTTCCAAAAAATTTAGTCAAATGCTAGTACAATTTTAAAGGAAATATATACAAAGTATTTTGCAAAGCTTTTTCTTCCTATTATATACATTAGAGATGTTGTTTGATGTGGAGAGTAAACACAACTTTTATTCAATGAACCTCTAATATATATTTTTTATTTTAATCAAAAAAGGAGAATTCCTTACTTGAATAAAATATGAAAAATAATCTTAATGCCTTGATCCTCTGACTAGTACAGACTTTGATCAAATCAAATTGTAGTCTCTGTGTATATATGGGGGGACAGTGTGGATGTGGGTATTTCACGTATTTATAGAAATATTTCTATTTTGTACATAATTACAATAAAAATTTTAAGATGTAAATTTCAGGGATTTTGTTTTTCATAATTTTTTTGAAAAACACTTCATGTTCTTTTCAACATGGACAAGACATTCTGGTCCTTCTTTTCTTGTCATTTTGGGATGAGTGACTACTTTCAATTTCTTTTTTCCTGTCTCTGTAAACCCAGTTACCGAGATTCACTAAATTATCTCAGGCAAACCTAGATTTGACATGGATAATAAATCTACCATTTTGTTATGTATCTCAAAATGTTTAGGAACAACTTTTTCTTGACTTAAAATAATGTAAGATGTTTCATGCACATACAGAAATCTAAAATACTAGATATTCAAGTTTTTTTTTTACTTACTTGACTTAATCACGTTCTATGTTATACATAGTCATTACCAACGTGTATTCAGAGAAGTAGCTAAAAGCTTATTAGCTACACTCATATGTAATTGCTGTTGTAGTTCAGAAATGTAAGTATATGTTAAAATTAGGAATTTTCAGCTTTTTCAGAAAGAAGAAAGTATGATATATATCATGATACATGTACATATTTAAATATGTTTAAATACCTTATAACTCACCCTAGAGATGTTTTTTACATGCATGTCCTTTAAAAAATGAATCACATAGGACTGACCAAATCCTGGAGTTTGTAGTAAAAAACAAAAAAATCTAAGTTCCAAGCATTGCTGTGGTCTTTCTGTCTTGTCTATAAAATGAAAGCAACAACAGTAACTGACTTAATGTGTTATCAGAAGCACAGGATGCTTAGAGCAAATAAATCACCACAAAAATACCATCTTGTTGGCATTAGAGTACATATTACAATGTTATATTTTTCATAAAGCACTTCATCTATACCCTCTCATTGTCTGCAGTGTGGTAGAGATTAACTCCTAGTAATGCTGGTAATGAAAAGAAAAAAATAAAAGAATAATATAATAGCACATCTAATAAAAATTTTAGAAAATCGTAATGTATCTTGACTAAATTAAATTACCTTTCTCAAAGTGAACCTCGTCCTTTCTGGCCCTTTTATAATGTCTGATGTTCCAATTTAATTTTGCTTTAGCTTTGAAAGATGAATATGGGAGAAAGACAAATAGGCACTTTTTCTTATAATGAGAATTTACACACATTAAAATAGAAAAATAAAAAAAAACAGTCTAAGCTTTTCAAAAGAAAATGACAAACAAAAACAAAGGCATTTGTACCACGTGTAAACTGTTTCAAATATTCATGCAAGCTGGTTCGGATTTTATAAGCCTCTGGCTCATTGATGGTTCCACGATGCAGCCGCTGAAGGCAGGGCTTTTCAGATGAGGGGTTTTAGGTTATGCTTGTTCCTATGTTGTTTCTTTTAGACACAATATGAATGACCTTTAAGAAGTGGTCACGCTTTTATATACATATAATTGCAATATGTTCTATAAATACACAAAATGCCTCAACTTTAAATTTTTGATTTTAGACTTTTTCTTTCTTGAAGGGAAAATAAATAAATGAAGGAAGACTAGGCTATTGCTTTTTCTGTATTTTATAGGTCTCATTCAGGTATTTAGTTTTTTTAATTTAAAAAATCATAAAAATAGGTAGTAATTTTACTTTCTAGGGTTTAAGCCTACATACACCATTTTCTCCAAATGTAATATTGGTGCTATATGTAAAGTTGATAGCTGGGTATAACTATTTTTTCAAAATATCATGTTATCCAATATTAATATATAATGTTGCTTTGGCAAAATCAGGCTAATTCATACTGGATAAAACTCATAAATTGTATAATTTAGGGCTTTTAAAAAGACAAAAATGTTTTATGAAACCTGCCTAGATTACATAGCAAAAGGCTTGTTTTCCTGTATGCCAGATAATTTTTCATTTTTGACTCTATTGTCTTGTGATAGTTATCTCCTGTGGAATGCACTTTTCTCAATGAGAAGAAAAATTAACGTAGGATTCTATTTAATGTGGATGTTTTTTATAAAATTAACTAGGAACATTTCAATGAAAGACATTTTTCTACATAGAAGCATAGCATCTCTCCTTGCCCTAGTACTCTTTGTGTTTTAGGACTGAATCTTGTCCACCAAAGTGCTTTTCCTGAGATAATTCATTTTCCTTCAGAATAATGCTATCCAGACTGTAAATTTCCAAATTTTGGAGAAAATGTTCTCCAGTGCATTCAGTTGATATTCAAATACTTTAAACTTTGACATGATCTTATTTAAGCAAGATGAAAATATACAAAATAGTTATTATTTATTCACTATTTTTATATTAATAGATCATAAGCTTGGATTTTAAAAATTAAATGCTTATTAGGTATTTTTAGGTATCCGAGTAATTTTCTTTTAAAGACACAGTTGATTAGCTTCAGAAGCAAATGCTTGCTGACTGAGGGTTTGCATAGACTTGTGTGTGTAGTATTTCAGTAAAGTAGTTTTCCATTCTTACATTCTGGTTTTGATTTGATTGAAAGGTGGCATTTTTTTTTTCCTCATTGCAATCAGACATGTTAATCTATGTCAGCTTTCTCCTTTATGGGAATGGCGTCTACTGAAAAAAAAAAACTATTTAAGTTTTTTTCATAACAACAAGATTCTGTTCTTTAAGAATATTTCAGCACCATTAATTAGAAAGAAGGTTTTATTAACCATAAGGCTAGCACTAACAGACCACAGAGCTGTGTTTTAAAGTACTGTATGCCATAGCTGCCCTGCTTTTTCTCTGTCTAAAACTTCATTTTGTTATACTCTCATCAATCACTTAAGTCATTACCGTAAATCCTACTGTTGTTAATTTTACTAGTATCACCCTAATGAGACATTCCTGCTATAATTAAAAATGAATTCTAACTTTAAGCCATTCTAAATTTTTTTTTAATGAATTTAGAATGATCTTGCCACATGACTATAAATACTACTGATATACACATAGACTACTCATCAAATCTGCAAGAAAAGTAGTATCATAATATGTCCAGGTGTGAATTATTTACTGGTTGCCTTTGTGCACATGTGCTTATGCATATGTATATTTTTGTGCACATATTTAGGAATTATGTCCTTTTTATTGTAAAGCCTAATAGGTTTTACTGAAGCTACTGATAAATCCTTATTCTTTGTCTGGCCAAAAGGTAGGTAAATACAAACAAGTATTACTCTCTGTAAGTAGGTGTCCTAGAGCACCATCTGCTGGATGCATTTGAGGACCTAATGTTGGGAAATGTGAAAATTGGTACTTGGTAAGACAGGTGTACTTTGTTTTTCATTGCCTGTGATATATTATTTAAGGGTCACAAATGTCAAGGTGTGTACATTTGTGTTGAACCATATGAGTTTTTAAAAAGAAATTACATTCTTCCTTCTTTTGCCCCACCCTAACCTGGATTTGGAACTTCACAATAAATATGTTGTTTAAGGAAAAAGCAAGCCCAATATATGCCTAAAAACACCACAGTTGGTCATGAGATAAACTCTTATTTTATTGATCACAGGTCTTCAGTAGGCTACAGTTGAGGAAAGTTGTTTGGATCATATTTTAAATGTACATTCCTTTTGTTCACTAGATTCTGAATATGAAAGTAATGCTTGAAACAAGTATCCCTTTCATACCTGCGCTATGA